GACACCACGCATGATCGCGACATCACGGAGGACCCAATGTTGGAGGAGTTCATAGCCTCTCTCACCAACAGTCGGATCGTCACGTGGCCTTCTCTTGAACTACAAGATGAGGCCCCGGCAATGATGGCTCCCTAGCCGGAGGATGAGGACCTGTGACAGTGGTCTCCTGTGCGTTGCAGACGCCACCTCTGCGCCCCATTCACTTGGCAGTGGACTCACCGAGCCTCACGGTGGATGCTGGCACTCCTAGTTCACCGCCGGTGGATACCCACCGACCGAGGACAACGACGACTCCACCAAACGCCTCCTCGAGAGCTTCATCAACGAAGTGACGTGTAAGAGGGACTCTCTACTAATTCGTGAGCCTCCAAAGCAGCCTTCTGCTAAGCCAGTGGTGCCGTGGCGGAGCAGGCGGTTGGCGGCTCAGCCCCTCTCGAGTACCTGCTTCCAAGTAAGGTGAGGTGCTGATCATATAGCGTATGTGCTTCACCAAGGGTCCATCAGCGCCATCCGCGTCAGAGCTAGAGGCCTATGACAAGCTCTTCGGCATCGACCTGACTACGTCCAAAGCCGAAGCGCTGGACGAGCTCTTCCCGGCTGTTCGGTCTAGGCAGCCGCGAAGACGTAAGGCCACCTCCTAGGTCTCACCGTTGTGTCGGTATTGGTTGTGTTCCTTTAATGTAATAGCGAATCTAGAGGTCTCTTGCTAGAATGGTCCAGCTACGGCTGTGTTAGGTTGACCTCCTTCGGCGCTCGATACAAGCGTGTTGTATGTTTGTCAAAACTCTTCTACTTAATACAATGATACGTAAAGCTTTTGCGTATTCGAGAAAAGACGTGGAGCAAGATTCCAACTTCTTTTTCGATCACTACCTTGTCTCGACTCTTGTACACTTCTTCAGCCGGGGAGCACGGTATGTTCAGACTTGAGACTTGAAGACTTTTCCCTGATCGATTCAGACACACACGCACGCATTCTTTAGAAAACGCCAGAATTCATAAGCCAATGACATTCTCGGGAAAAAACAGAGAATTGAGAAATGCAACCGCAAAACTAGTTCTGTGATTTTGTCTCTGTTTTGCGCACATTGTACTAGCGATTCTTTTGGCTTTAATACCAGCTTCGGCGTCTCGTGACACTATAACAATAAGCTAAAAAAAGTTGGAAATCCTGCCAAAAGGGGACCTTAATTAATTTGCATCTGCGCGTTACAGATATGTATACCCGCCATACGCAAGCCATTAGCATAAGGTGATTGATGGTTTGCTTAACCATCAGTCATGTTCTGTAATGTATTTTGTGATGTTCACGGGATACACATGTAATGTTCACGTTACATGATGTTCTATAATGTTGTGATGTTCTATGATGTTCTTTGCGATGTTCAAGTGATACACATGTGGTGTTCTATTATGTTATATGATGTATTTTAGTGTTTTTTGATGTTCTCAGGCGGCTGCTAAAATAAATGTGATGTTCTATGATGTATTTTATAATGTTCTATGATGCATTTTATGATGTTCCAGCAGTATACATATGATGTTCTGTGAAAATTGACTGACAAAAAAATAAAATATTAGACAACTGTATTTGAGTAAATCTGATTAGCATATCGCAACCAAGAAACAAACGAACCAGCGGCCGATGATCCTGCAGAAGTGCAGAATCAAAATGTTTTCCGTTAATCCGACCGGCCAATCCAGTCGTCCACCTGAAAGCAGGACTGTTCTCACCGTCTCAGCCCTTGTTTAGTTCCCACCCCAAAACTTTACACCCTGTCACATCGAATGTTTGACACATGTATGAAGTATTAAATATAGACTAAAAATAACTAATTACATAGTTTGCGACTAATTTGCGAAACGAATCTTTTAAGCCTAATTAGTTCATAATTTGACAATAAAGTGCTACAGTAACACATGTGCTAATGAAGGATTAATTATGCTTAATAAATTCGTCTCGTGATTTACTGACGGATTCTGTAATTTATTTTTTTATTATTATCCGAACACCGCATCCTCGTATAACATTTGTCGTGACGTCTCAAAACTTTAGGCTCGATCTAAACAAAGCCTAGTATCAGTACGCGCCTGCAGCTCCCATGGCGTGCGTGTGCAGGCGCACTATGGCTGCATGCATACCTGCATCGTCCTCTGTTCTAAAGCTAGCGGCCTCGACATCAATGCATGCGATGCAACTAAATATAAATATAAATATAAATATAAAATATAAAATATAAAATATAAATATAAATATAAATATAAAAAAGCAAGGACATAGCAAGCAAGCACCGATCGAGGTAAACAAATGGAGTGGATCTGGCTCATGGAGGACAGGAGGAGCTTGGCCCTCCACGAATAATATCTGGAGCAGTGCTATGCTAACACCGTACCACCAGATTATATATGAGTATTAATTAGTATGACAATTACTCCAATGAAGATCCTGCCGTGGTGGACGAAGCAGACGACAGCAGTGCGATTAAGTTAGCCGCTGGCGTGTCCCCCGTGAGGACGGAGCCACCACCACCACTGACGACGCTAATGAAAGGAGCACTTGTGATTCTCCAGTGTATAATTGTATTATTTTCTGTTTGCCGATGATCATGCCTGCATGATTCAGTCAGTTTGTTGGGGTCGTCGTCTAACCCTAGCTACCATTGGCCCAAGATTCCTTGTCTGGCGTCAGCCAATGGAGATTCTTCGTTCCCTGCCCGGCCCCAGAAGTCCGCTCTCGGCTAGCTTGTCATATTAGCTGTGCCAATCATGGCCTCCCCTATCACTATCCAGATCCTTCTGAATAATTTTTTTTCTCTCTCTCTCTCGAACATGCGAGAGCCCGGCCTATAATACTGTACTTATTATCTAATAAGGCTCGACAGGCTCGCATCGAGTGCTCTGATAGTCTGATTGGGCAGAGCACAACGAGGCACTAATAATCCAGTCGTGGGTGCTCGTGTTCGGCTTCTATTTGTGGATAAAGAGATATACCAAGGGATTATTGCAGCATTGCTCCTCTCTTGGTCTCGTCATAGGTTTCGAGCCTGCGTATGTATATAGTATATATGCCCTAACTGTTCTTGCATGCATGATTGGAGTGGATTCGTGGCTAAGAAAACTGGTGCGCTGCTGATGTATGATATAATATATATTGATATGGTGTGTGGGTGGCAGTCGATCTGGCAGCGCGCGGGCAGTGCCTGAAAAAAAGCTATTGTTCTAGTGGTGGTGGATGTTGGAGTGTGGAGTGGAGGGATGCGCATTGCATCGCAGCTCCAAGATCTAGTAGCCAGTTACTTCGCTTCGTTACGAGCGGTGAAAGAAAATGATGAGTTTTGCTGTCGGGCCTCAGCTCAGAGCTTGCACGGCATGCAGCCATGTGGGCCGACTGTTCAGAAAAGGACTTTCTTTGGACCAGAAAATACAGTTAAGCCCATTTAATGGCCCAATAGGAATCGCGCGATTTTTATGCTGGTCCAGTTCATCAATCATGGTCGCGAAATGAGCATGCGCCAAATCGGGAACGGAAAATTCGTTTACCGAATCCGCTTTTCAAAGTTTTATCGTATTATTTGGATGGAACCCATCCAAACATTAAATCAAAATATGGTTCCACGAGAAAATTTCAGAGGGGAGAAGCCGCTTTTTAACTAAAACAAATTTCGTGTACATATATCAGATAAATATGGTATTGGTCAGTTCATATCGCAAACGCCGAAATTTGATGAGTATATTATGAATAGAAATCATAGTTATGTGCTAAAGACACCACAGGACACCACTAGAATCGCAGTTGACTGAAATGCAGCTATCGGAAAGAAAAAAAAAAAGGTTGCAAGGAAGATACTCCATCCTCTAAACCAGTGGTGACAGTACTATCGCCGCTATGTTGCAGCTCCGAAATTAATTAACTCGTTATACGTTTCTATCAGCCGTTCCGTTTCCCCGCTATTTTCCCCTATCCACCTGTGCTCTTGCCTATTCTAGGCCTCCACTTCCCCACGTCCTTCTCCCTTGAGGACTATCTCTTCACCGCCTGCGGTCTCTCCCCAGCAAGTTCGAACGACGTCCAAGAAGGCGTTCGAAGTTGCGTCCAAAGAGTTAGAAACCACTCAGGGCTTGTTATTCATATCCATCTCAATCTACTTATGGTGAAGTGGATGTTAGCAATTTTTCGCTCTAATATGCCCCAATACATATAGATTAAGGTAAATTGGGTTGAAAAACATGAGCCCAAGCGGCCTAAGACATGCCCTCATCCTGATCGTCGGTAGAGAGGCCGGTCTGAGAGGCAGTCAAGAGTTCGGACGCAAAATGCAGTGCAGGTGCCATCGATCCTGCATCATCAAACTTTCAGAGATTGCTGGGATGCTATGCTACTTTGGCTCCGGTGATCAGTGTAAATAAGACGGCCGGCAGCGCAGTCATCATGTACACAATCTGGAGCATCCAGAAGGAACAGAATAAGATAATTTTGGATCACAAACACTCATCGCCAGCACAGGTTCTGGCGGTGAGGACTTAGACCATGCGAAGGCTGGCTTGCTGCCAACCGTCTGTAGAATGATTTCCTTTTTCTGCATGATATGCTCTTTGAGGAGTTTTTTTTCAGCTTGCTACGCTCCTGACAGCGATTGGTATGTCATGATCCTATGCTATGGATATAACAAAGAAGAATCCTAACAAAGACATGTCATAATTTATTGTATGATGTGTTCTGAATTCAACAAGGTGCACTTACAATAATCCAGTGTAGTATCAGGTGGAGACACGTCTGCAAGTACAGATTATTACATGATAATGATTGATTGGTACAGAAATGAGATAGAACCATATGTTATGTCCTCTTAGACAAAGAAGAGACTCAGTATGCATGCAAGAATAATTGGAGCATCAGGTTGGGTGTTGCCGATAGATCGATAAGAGGGATTCGTTTTCAGGCTGTCTTCCTTCCTTCCATGAGCGAAGCAGAGTTCAGTCCCCTGCGCCGTTGTCTGATCTTACATGCTCGGCTTGGCGCTGAGGCGGCTCGCAAGCTTCTGGCCCAGAGATCTGTCGGCCTGCATCCATTGATCAGGCAACCAACGATTCAGAAAACAACTCGGTGAATTCAGTAAGAAACTTATCGTCTGAAACTGAATATGCTGCAGATTATATAAATTACTACATATATAAGTACATTACCTGAGACCAGTTGGAGAGCCAGATGCTCCTGATCTCGTGGGTGAGGCGGGGGTCAGAGAGCGCGTCGACCCATCTCTTGATGAATCGCTCTTGCCTGCAGATACGATGAGTACAGTCCGGTTGAGTTCAGTAAGCAAACATGCAGTTCAGTGATCAGTAAGAGACGAGAGCATTTGATGAATGGATTGCCATACCTGGCTGGGTCCATTGCGCGGTACCTCTCCCCAGGCTGCTTGAAGTTGTTCTCCTTGCCAATCACAGTCTGCACCAACAAACCAGCAGGTGATTGAGCAACTTATATATTGTGATCTGTGATCACTGATCATCAGTACTACTGCTCATACTACACAGTATAGTAGTACCTTGTCTCGGCGGCCGGTGATGTGGACGGTCGGGATTGGGTACCTCGGCGCGTTCTTGGCAGGGTCGTACCTGGAGGGGAAGTAGTCCACCTCCTCGTCGCGGTGCATGAAGTTCATGAAGCCGTCGTAGTGGTTGTTGTGGTGTGCGCACTTGGGCGCGTTGGCCGGGAGCAGCAGGTAGTTTGGTCCCAGGCGGTGGCGCTGCGTGTCGGAGTAGGAGAAGATCCTGGTCTGCAGCAGCTTGTCGTCGGAGTAGTAGATCCCGGGGACGATGAGGCCCGGGCAGAATGCCAGCTGCTCGTTCTCGGCGAAGAAGTTGTCGATGATGCGGTTGAGCACCATCCGCCCCACGGGCTGCAGCGGGAACACGTCCTCGGGCCACGTCTTGGTCACGTCCAGCGGGTCGAAGTCGAAGCGGTCCTCGTGCTCGGGGTCCATGGTCTGGATGTAGAGCGTCCACTCCGGGAAGTTGCCCGCAACGATGGCGTCGGTGAGGTCCTTGGTGGCGTGGCTGTGGTTGGCGCCGCCCACGGCGACGGCCTCGTCGTCCAGCAGCGACCTGACGCCGCAGGTGGGGCGCCAGTGGAACTTGACGTAGGTGGCCTTGCCGGCGCGGTTGATGAGCGTGTAGGTGTGCACCCCGGAGCCGTCCATGTGTCGGTAGTCGGCGGGGATGCCGACGTCGTCGAAGAGGAAGGTGAACATGTGGAGGCTCTCCGGGTGGTGGGAGAAGAAGTCGAGGATGCGCCAGTTCTCCTGGACGTGCGTCTTAGGGTTGGGCTTGAGCGCGTGCACCATGTCCGGGAACTTCATGCCGTCGCGGATGAAGAAGACGGGGAAGTTGTTGCCCACCAGGTCCCAGTTGCCCTCCCGGGTGTAGAACTTGACGGCGAACCCGCGCGGGTCGCGCAGCGTCTCGGGGCTCCCGCGCTCGTGGATCACCGTGGAGAAGCGCACGATCACGGGGGTCTGCGCGCCCGGGGCGCGCAGGAAGTCGGCGCACGACAGGTGGGTGAAGTCGTGGGTCACCTCGAAGAAGCCCTTGGCGCTGGCGCCCCGGGCGTGCACCACGCGCTCCGGGATCCGCTCACGGTCGAAGTTGGCCAGCTTCTCCACCAGGTGGTAGTCCTCAAGCAGGATGGGACCTGATGAATGAGCAAAAATAATTAATTAAATTATTAATCCCACAGCGCTTCTTCAATTGTTCTTGTTCACCTCCTCAGCTCAGTTGAAGTTACTGTCAAATTACACGTACGATCAAGACCACTGGATTGCTGCTACTTCCGACTGATTGATGATTTTTTATTCTAAACATCACAAGTACTGGTGGTAGTGGTCAGGACTAAACTGACATAGTACGACTTCTGAACTCGAGAATTAGTGGTACAGTGACAATAAATTTACACGGTAAAATAAAATTCTTCAGTAGAGTATATTCGCTTTTCTTTACCGTCTGTCCTTATCAATTATCATAGGAGTAACCAGATACTGTAGTGTATTGATTAAAGGTGTTACTACTTAGTAATTAGTTCTAGCCAGTGGTACCGTGCGTGCTCTGCTCTCTGCAGCAGCTTCGTCCTGTTCCTGATCATTCCTCGTAGTAATCATACTCACTCGTAATGAATAGTGTTTCTCTCTCACAACAAATCAGCATAAACATCAGTTAAATTTCAGCGAAACGAAACGGGGCCGAAACTTTCCGTACGTAGCTACCTATACACAGTTTATTCGAAGGCGGTTAGTATCACCGCCATGTTGCCCATGTAACTATGTAAGTATGTAACCAACCGCAACGTACTACTGTACTACGGGAATTCCACTACTAGCGCTCGGGTACTACCGAAGTTGAGAGATTCCAACGCCGCATGCAGAGCTGAGAGCTCAGTTGAGTTCCTCCTACTAGAGCGACGACAGCATCGCTAGGTAGCTCTCTAGCCGGTTACGGTAGGAACATACGCCATCAGCAGCAGTTACCTCGTGCTCCCACGGTGAGGGAGTTGTCGTTGTTCCATACGGGGGCGCCGGAGTTGGTGGTCCAGTACGGGGCGTTGAAGGCGCTCGACGGCCGGTGCTGCACGCGACACACCATCAAGTCATGAACGACGAACATAAGCAGCAGGTGTGGTGTGGCTCTGGGCTGGGGAGCACGGCGTACCTTGTACGGGTCCATGGCGGCGGCGATGGCGAGCTGGGCGGGGCGGCGTGCAGCGCGTGCGCCGTGCGGGCTACGTACGCGAGGTCAGCCACACACCGCCGGTTATATATCGCGGGAACCGCAGCGCAGCGAGTGGCTCTTGGGGTTTTTGTCGCGCTCCCGATCCTTACAGGGCTCGTGCTCGCGTCGTGTGGGGCTACGGCTCGCGACGTGCTACGTGTGCCGACGCGCCTCCGGGCTCCGGATGGGTGGGTGGGTGGGTTTTTATGGGCCGGGCCTCATCCACACGCTGCCCCGCGCGCGCCGTCCTGCAGAAAAAAGCACAGCTGGTTTTGTTGCCGGAGGGAGGTGCTGGGCGTGAGATAGATAAGACTAGCGTAGCGATGGAGCAAACGGCAGGAGCTGGACGTGCTGGGCCGGGCGTGTGAACGCGACGGGCGCAGGGTATTTTCGCTAAAGCAAAGCCTCCTGCAGATGCCGTTCACACGAGCGCAGCGCATCAAGGCCACGGCGCGACGGCGAGGGGAGGTGTGGGTGCACATGCGCACGGGACGTAGATGGTACTCCTACTGTAGAGTATGTGTGGCCGAACCGCCTACCCAAAAGCCGGAAAAGCACCCTCGGATGTTTTCATCACGGCCAAGGCCAATGTGCGGTACAACTAACACGGTGTTTGTGTTACACGGCTACTTCGCGACCAGCGCAGCGCACCCTTTGGGGGCGTTACCGCGATTCTTTTTCTCGTTCCGGGACGGTTCGGTGTCACGAATGAATAATGCACCAAAAAGAGGAGAAAAACGAAGAAAAGACGAGCGTCGTCACGCAAGCATCCACAGCTGAGGCTGTTCAGTCCTGCCCATGCTCAACAAGCCTATCTCATCAAACAATGCTTAGCGATGGGTCGCTACGTGAAAAGGAGGGCTGCCTCCATCACCCCGATCCATCGTATAGGGTTGCGACTTGCGCGCAAGACGATGGTCATCACTCATCACTAAGCAATGCCCACATTTTTGCACCAAATAAATCTTACGAACTCAAGCCACCGCTACGTTTACTCGCAGTTCCATCGTATCATTGCGTCATGAGCATCCTTGTCATGAGCATATACATCGAGCCAGGTAGATGAGAAAGTCATATGACTATTCTAGAGTGCTCCAGAGCTAGGTCGGTGTGAAAGTTATATGACTATTCCAGACCTGGTTGGGTATGAAGGCAGTGGACATAGGGCTGGATATCGAGCCAGCTCGGCTCGGCTCGTTAGGCTAACGAGCCAGCTCAGCTCGGCTCGTTAATATTATGAGCTAGAGGGGCAGCTCGGCTTCGCTCGTTACCGTGCTCGAGCTGGCCCGTTTAGCTCGTGAGTTATAAAAAAATATGACACACATGTTTATAATATTTATACTATATTAATTCCCGAAGGTGACGGGTTCATCAAAAGTATCAACAATGCAACATAGCTGGTTCATCCATGATTATGCAGTTCCAGCATACTAATTAGTTGCTTGCCACAATAAACTTAGGAAAGTTCACAGATTCAATGCCAGCATCATCATTTTCTCCCTGGAAAACAATCTATAAAATCAACATTTAAGTACCACAACAATTATAAAATTAAAATTCATATGAAACAATTGAAAATAAGGATTACATACCAATAGAATAGGTGTACACTTCTAGGTCAGCATCATCATCTTCTAGATTTATAGTCGTGGGCTGATAGGCTTCAGCTCATTTCAGCTCGTGAGCAACTCTCGAGTTGGCTCATTAAAACAGCAAGCTAGACTTCCAGCTCAACTCGTGAAAAAGTTAAAACGAGCCGAGCTGAGTCGGCCATGAGTCGAGCGAGTTGGCGAGCCGCGAGTATTTTGTCCAGCCCTAAGTGGACATGCATATGCATTGTATTTGCACTCTTTGAGGATTATTGAAATTGAAGTTTTATGTTACCATGAAGCGTAGATGAGGAGTATTCTTTTTATTTCAACGTGGAGTATTGTTCTATTCGTTTGTGGTGGTGGTTTATTTATTATATATAATGCTCTTTATTTCTTTATAAAAAATCATTGAATAATATATTCTTATCATGATTCTATTTATTTATGACATGTATTCTTCTATGTTTAAATTAATGTCTAATGACCTTGTAGCTTGAATGACATGTTCAGACATATTGCTTGCTGAGATTTATTCTCATCCCCCACTTATCTTTTCAGGTGCTTGATTTGGATGCTTGCTTCAAGGGATAGGAGTAGCGGCATGTCTTCACTATTTCACCTACATTTAGAGATAACAAGGCAAAATAGTTATTTTGGTCCCTCAACTATTACTCGAGGCTCAGTTTCGTTTCTGAACTTTCAAAACGGCCGTTTTAGTTCTCATACTCTACTTTTAGGCTCAATTTCATCCTAGAACTATAAAGATGATCGTTTTAGTTCCCAAACTTTGCATTTTGGGCTCAATTTCATTTATAGACTATCAAAGTGTATTTTGTTCTTTAAACTTTTATTTTCAACTCAACTTTGTCTACGTTCTATGTAGAACGCTGTACTGTTGCACCTGGTTAGCTCCAACACCACCAGCCATTGAAGATAGAAAAATAATGTTCATCCAAATACCCTTTTGTGGTCATTAATAATTCCAAGCTATTATTTTTAGTGTTACCTTATAATGGTACCATTTACATGTATCTGGCTAAATGATATTTGTGGGTGCAATTACAGTTGTATCAAACACTATTTATTCTTTAAAAATACATGGATATATTGAAACAATAGCATATCTATAATTTTGATAATCTATGGATAAAATTGTGCCTAAAATATAAAGTTTTCTTTTTTGAATAGATAAAATTGAGTTGAAAATAAAAGTTAAATGCACTTTGATAATTTATGGATGAAATTGAGCCCAAAATGCAAAATTTAAGGACTGAAACGATCATCTTCGTAGTTGTAGGATAAAATTGAGTCTAAAACTAAAGTTTAATAATCTAAATGGCCATTGTAAAAGTTTAGGGATAAAATTGAGCCTCGAGTAATAGTCAAGGGACCAAAATGAGTATTGTGCCAGATAATAATGATACTTCTATCATGTTGTAGCAAACTTAGACTTAACTAGCTTTGTGACTATTCATGGACAATAATAATGTTTTTGTCAGAACCTACCTTAATCGTAGCTTTGTTCTCGTTGCTGCTTCCGCGTTTACATTGCTGATGGGTGTTTGATGCTAAGTTTTCTCAGCTCTGGCATGCGGGAAGGGATCCTAGGCTGTTGTGGCGCCTAGGGGTGTTGCAGTCGAACTCAGCCTCATCCAAACATATCACGCAAGCATTGTGCCTTGGCGTTGGCGTGCGAAGAACAGGCCAAACAGATGAGATCAACCTTACCTAGACACCTGAAAAAACAGAAATTTGCAAATTCGCCTAGCAAATAATCTGAACCTGAAAGGCTACAAGCGCCATTCGACCAAAATACAGAACATCACATTAATCCATCATAAAACGAAAAGACAAACAACATAACAGAAAGCCAGACTGAATTATCCTGTTACTATAAACCAAGGAAGCCATTAAGGGCTGACAAAATCCTGGGACAAAAAGAGCAAGGTCAACACTCAACAGACACATCTTTAGTTAAGATAATCCATGAACTCTGAACATAAATGCTTGTTGCAGGACTACAGGGAACAATAAATGCCATTGCGCAAGTTCAGATCTCCAAATAAGATAGCACTACTATGCCACGACTAGCACTTCACTCGTCATCCTCATCATCATCATCGGCACCGCCAGAGGAGTTGAGGGCGTTGAGCCTTTCCACGAGGCTGGCCTTCCTCTGCTCATAGGTCAACTTCTTGGGGTTGTACCTAAAATAAACAGAAGATGTGCATGGGTTAGTATGAATGTTATGGAATTATTAGGGTGGACAGACACATTCAGATGTAGATTATACAGAATCATTAGCCAGCTATGTACGGTATACCTCTTGTGCTCCTTTGGTGGCATCTTTGTTGACTTGGCCATGCTAGGATCGGCACGGATGGCAGCATGGACCTTCTTGTACAGAGCTTCCATGTCATCAGCCTCAATTCCCTTCTTGATGTACTCACTGAAGTGAGCCTGGTATTTCTCGGGCTCCTCATCAGCCAGATTCTGGAATAGTTCATAAGAATAATAGTACCAATGAGATTTAGTCAGCCCCCAAATAGAACACCTGATGTGGGATAGTTAGTTAGTTACATATATTTATGAAATAAACTTACAAATTGATATCCAAATCATTACAAGGGAAAAAACTATAATCTGGCAAGCAACATGCACAACTTACCTTCATGTACTCAGCAACATGGAGACCATAGATGTACTTGCGGTGGATATCAGCATCCAGCTGCTTGTCATCCTTCTTGAAGCCAGCAAACCTCTTATCGCTGTGAGGAATATCCAGACCACCATCCAAAGCTCCCTGCAGCAACAAGCATTTTGTGTTAAAATGCTCTCCATAAAAACATATTCCTTATAAACATACAACAAAACTATAGTTCAATGAAAAGTAGATAAATGGGAATGTCCATTCTTTCAGTGTGGACTTGCACACATGTGGGAGTTCATTGGAATAATGATGTTACTAAATTCAAGAAAACGGACTAGTGATAAACATTTATCAAGACTTATGCAATACTGAGCTCATATAGAAAAACTTCTCTTCATGAGCCACGTACAACCAAATCACAAGGAAAACACTCACAAGAATACAATCATTCATAATACAGAAGTAATATACCTTCAGGGCACCAAAGACACGGTTTCCAGTGGTAGTCCTAATAAGGCCAACATCCAAGAGTGCACGGAAAGGCCTCCTCCCTTCGGCTGGCTCAACAGAGAAGTCCTCACCAGTGGCCTGAGAACAGAAGATCATCACAAAGTGTCACCCAACGCAATATCAGCAAAACAGCAAACAGAATAAATTTAAACATATCTTTGAGTTTTACCTCAACATTGCCCTCATACTCCTGATCCAAATCA